CCCCCCCCCCCCCCCCCCCCCCCCCCCCTCCCATCGACACATCCCAAGTCCAAGTCAAGAGTGTTCCCCCCCCCCCTCTCCCCCTCTCGACATATATATATATATATATTGAACCAAGGAGTTTGCAAACTAGAGGCTTTGTTTGCAAACCAGCTTGTTTGTTGTAATTTACAGAAGCCAGATGTTGGAGTAAGTAAATAGTTTGTTGCAGAAGCCAGATGTTAAAGTAAGCAATGACAACAAGAAGACAAGAAGCAACAGCAATAGTAGACCAAGAAAACTATTATATGTATGCGTTAATGCTAACAAGTGGAAATGTTTCAAAAGTGGCTGTCCGAAATCATCCCCTAGCCATATATGTATATATGTATATATGCATATGCACCCACACCCTTCATAGAATTATCTGCCACAGAATCCGAGACTGTTCTGGATAAAGCTAACAATCAGGAAAAAAAGTATCGCATCCAACTCAGGAAGACCTCCATCTCCAAGTTCAGTCCAACTGCTTGGTTGAAAAAATATCTCCAAGTTCAGTCCAACTGCTTGGGTTTAAAAAAATAGAAAATAGTAAAACAGACTTGATTAGACTGTGATTTTTTGAGAGACCAACACTCCATTCGGAGTCGAATGCAGAGGCTTTCGTCACCTTGAGAAGTTTACCTGTTTGGAGACACATCGGTCCACAGCTTGGTTATGTCTTTCCTCGTCTGGAAGGAGTTTGTCTGGCATACATCAGGCTAAGTATGTGAGGACTTCATTCACCACGATACCTCAGCTCCCAAAAAAATAACGTGTCAGACTGGTTTCTGGAAATGAATGAAAGGCCTGCCTGACATTCAAACAAAGGGCAAAGACTCTGTTTGCCAAGCCTTGTCTGGTGAAGAGTCTGCAATCAGATAGAAGACCTAGGTTGCTCTGAGGTTGAACCAGGAAATCTGCCCTTGGCAGATTGGCTTGCAACAATTGCTTTACGTATTTCACCTCTCTATGTATGTATGTATGTATGTATGTATGTATGTATGTATGTATGTAT